TCTCTCTCTCTCTCTCTCTCTCTCTCTCTCTCTCTCTCTCTCTCTCTCTCTGTGTGTCTTTGTCTTTGTCTCTGTGTCTTCCTCTGTCTCTGTCTCTGTCTCCGTCTTCGTCTCCGTTTCTGTTTCTATCTCTGTCTCTGTCTGTTTGTCTGTCTGTCTTTCTGTCTCTCGCCTTCTTGAACAGACATGCACACAAACACACATACGCACAAACGCGCACTCACACATACGCACACACATGCATCCAAACACACACACACATGCACAAAAATTTACACACATCACACACATACACATATTTACACACATACTGTGTAAATTAGCAGCATTATCTCAAAACTGAAAACTGCATTGACGATGTCCTTCAAAGACATTAAAATCGCTTTAAAAAAATTAAGAACTCAATTTAAAGATCATGTTATTGAAGACCAAATTTAAGATACATAGTAACAATGATTTAGAGGTTTTGATGTGTTGTTCAGAGATACGGATAATATAGCCATTCAATGAAAGTTTAAAAGCCTTCAAACAATATATGTGAGGCAGGGTGGTAGAATCAGGCTCTCGTCAAAATAATTAAAGTGAAGAAACTTGCATTTGTCCACAGGTTTGTGAATTTTTATCACATTTTTGTTTTTTTTGGCCCAACACCTTTCATGCCCATTAAAAAACTCATTTCTGTGTGGATTTTTCTGAAAAATGTTGAATAAAGGCACAAAAAATGTAAGTTTTCAGTTACCACGGACTCTTAAGCTAAGGAAGTAACTAATCTTTGGCGGCCATTTTCTCACTAATTTTACCTCTGAAAACAGGTGACCCCCACCTCCTACTTTTGCAAATATCTCAACTTGTATTCAAGATAAGTGGATATTTTTTTCCATCCAAATAAAGACAAGTGAACAAGCTTTAAGACGATACCAATAACTGTACATGCCAAAAAAATTGACGAGAGCCTGATTACTCCACGTTGCCTCACATATGTTCGATGGATTTTACTAGTAAAATGAAATTCGTTTATTACAAATAATGAAATGTTGGAAAGAGCTAGGTTTAAAGATGCCAATTAGTTCATAGAAAGGAGAAGACGGAGATATTTGGGACATATTGTATAGACACTGTCAGAGACAAAATTCCCCGATCAGACAAGGTACTGGAGACAAAGAAGAAGAGCCAGATTACTGGATTTTACAGAAGAATAATCAGTGATGAAAAAATCGCCAAGGGCCTAAATTTGCCTAGATTGGAAGAAGTTGTCAGGGACAGACAAGTGAAGCGTCAACTACTCTCTGCCTTTAATTTTGTCTTTATATTTAGGCCCAGAACAACATACTTAGGGAACCTAAACAAATGGATAACAGGGAAAGATCAGGGAAACGTAGCTTTTTTGAGAGCATCCGAGTAAAGAAATGAATGGAAAACCATGATCGCCGATGTCTGACGCAGATCTGGCAATGGATTATGATGGTATTTGGGAAGAGTTTTACAGCGTTTGCATACTACACAAGATCATATTATGAGCGCCATGTGCCTTGTTTACATGACGGTATAGGAAGAAAGGACTAAGTAGTAATTAAGTAAGTTCATCTCATATTCATCTTTTCCAAGGTTGTACCTGGATATTCACGCTTTCCTGGTTGAGCGAGAGGCAGATGAAATTGTTGTCCTGGGGTGGTACCACCAGCAATTCCTTGACCAGGCCACCAACAGATATCTCAGTGACTACCTGGACTACAACACTATACACAGAAACATCGCAGACTATTACCTTGGAACCTGGAGTGGAACTATCAAGAAGCCCTTCCTTTACGGGTGAGTTTTCCCCCTTTATTTACGTGTTGCGTTTACGCATTTCTCATATTAAACTCAAATTAGACGATTGATCATATTCAATTTTTTCTTGTTTAATGTGTAGTGCTGCTTTATTCCTATCAAAGCTGTGATTTTGAACATAAATTTAACATTTTCAACTCAAAGTTTCTTATTTAACAGTTACGGATACTGAAAGATGTTTTTCTTTATTTCTGTTATCTGTTTTCATCTTTTTTTTTAGATAAAAATTATCTTCTCTCTCCTCTCTCTCCCCAGAGATAATCTGATGAAACGCCTTAGTCTCAAAAGTCCTCACGGACTAGCCTGTCGTTATGTCCCTGAGCAGCCTCTTGTCTTCCGGCCCACAGAAATTGACGAGCGATACAACTACCGGAAAATGACGCAACTTCCGTACAGTTTGATACACAGGTTTGTAAAGAAACAGTAGATTCTTGGCACTTCAAAAGTTGATTTGTGCTAATCATTACCACGAGGGAAAACTACCAAAATATATTTTCCTAATTTCTGATCATAGGTGAGGGGACTTTATGGCCCTTGTAATACAATAATTAGATTGTATAAATGCCGGAGATTAGAGGTGTTACTAGAAAGTACTAAACGCAAAAAGAAGAGGGAGAGAAAAGAATGACAGACGTTTAAAAGGACCGAAAGGAGCATGCCCAACCAGAGCACCTGCCAGCTACTCACATAAAGGCTTTAAGGGCAAAAATGAAAGGGATTAGTCACAAGAAGAAATGTTGAGTCCATTAGCTCATTTCATAATAATTATATTAATTTGAAGAGCTGCTCGTCTTTTTATATACGACTGTTTCATACGTTATGTATGTGGCAAAACCCGTATCTGTTTTTTAAAAACTGTATTGATGGACTCAACAGCACAAGTCAAACTGTAAATCAAAACAGAAGGAGTGATAAGTACGATGGGTGTTTGATAGGAAAGAAGGACAAACCACACCAGAGCAACCAAGAACCACTGACATTATTTTCTATTCCACGAGATATTGAAATAAATATACGTCAGATTTCTCTACTTTATTGTGAAGTACGTTGTTTGGAGACAATAAGTGTGAAGTGCAAGAGTAGAATGAGAAACGCAGCAGTGGGAAGGTGCGCTCATTTTTGGGGGCGGAAGTGATCAATAGCTCGCTACCACAGATTTACAAAGTTTTATTTGCTCAGTATTTAGTTTTGAGAAATTGGACGTCGAAGATTTTGAGTTTCACTACATGTCAAGCTTTTCCGAATGCCATTTTAAAAATCTTGATAACGACTCCGAATTATCTTACGATTTTGATAAAGCAAACAGAACATTTGGTTTTGGACCTTATGGTCTTAGTAGCTTCAAACAACAACAAAAATGTCAGATAAAACTTTCAAATTCTAACGTAGCAAGCTGTCAGCAGGCACAAACACACTACGAGACTGCCTTTTTCTCTCTTTACCAAAGTGAGCATTCAAAATTAATTTCATTTGTATGCACTTCACAACAGCTGCCAGTTCGACAGAGTGAAGAAAGACTGTCTCTGTAACCTGGAGTGGCTCCACACCAAGCTCAAGGCCACTTCACTACAGCAGGTCATCCTGGATATGTCCATGATAGAGGACTGGGAGACTGACCTGGTCGCTGATGTTCTGCGAATGTCCGGCTCGGCCCTCAAGATCGACCCAGATGCGATAGGAGCTGAGATCTCAGGACGTTTGCTAACTCACATACACAGGTGATTCTTTGTCATTATCTCTCTCTCTCTCTCTCTCTCTCT